TTTTTTCTATCTGAAAGTTTAAGAAAAAATTGTTTATTATGAAGTGTGTTAAAATATGCACAGAATAACCAGTTTGGAGAGTTTCTGTTTTGCTTCAGAGCTCATCATAGTGCTGAGGAAAGTTACTAATGCTGTTCTCATAGCATCAGATGGTGGACTTGTCTCTGTACTTGTCCTGTTAGATCTCAGTGCTGCATTTGATATTCACCAGGGTGAGCTACAATACGAGACGGGTGAGTTGGCCGGGACAGGTCAACCACCTCTCCCTGTGGAAAACTCCAAAGTAAAAGAGAGTCTGGTCTTAAGGAGCTGGAAGCCAGAGCCTAGGCTTTGTGTAGAAGTATGCCCGACTATCTCTGGCCAATATCACTAAATATGCTTGTCAAGTTTAGAAAAATGACACTCCAAGTCCCCAGAGCCAGTTTAGGTGTTCATGAATCAGGTCACCTCGGTCTCCAATTGCGGCTCTACTCGTCTGGGCTGGACGATGAATAACCCTCCTACCAGGCCTGGCTCCAGGGTGAGGTCTCAGCTCCCCTGTGCCCGGCGATATCACTTGTCCCATTTCTCTGGTCGTAATGAAAGCCATTGAAGCGCACCTTATCTGGCCTGTCACCCTGTTTAAGAGACCTTATCAGGAGAATCTAAGCCATTCATAACATAGCCTCTGGGATCACCCAAGCACTGAAACACCCTACAGTATTGAGTTGACAGTTCAAGGAGGGGATGTTTCTTTTTTTCTCTGTTTGATCTCTGCCTTTTGTTGTCTTTCAGTTTTCTTTTTGACTTTTCATTTACACTTTAATCTCTGTCTTTCTGTGCTTTCTAGCTCAGTCTTTTAATTTCCATGTACTTTCATCCTGGTTGTTCTGTGGTTGTGTTTAAGCATCTTGTAGTTGTTGTTTACTCTCTGATGCCTCCTTTCCCCTAGCTCCCTTCTAGCTCCTTCTTTCCACACCTGCTCCAAATCAGTTGATCACACCATTCAATGTTCTGTTTGGTATATATACTCCTGCTCTTCAGCTACTTTTTGCTGGATTCTGCTCATTCCATCATTCCTAAGTTGTTGGTTCCTGAGTTTAATCTGTTCTGGATTATGACTTCTGTATTTTACATATTTCATCAAATTCTACAAGAAATTATCTATGGTTCTTCAGCTCTGCATTTGGGTACCCTCTAATCCTGACAGTAGTCTTTTTGTTGTCTGTTGTTTCCTTATTTTATTTAAATCATTTTTGTTTTGCTGCACTTATTTACTTTAGATGAGAACACACTTGGAGCTATGATTTTGTTCAAGTACATCTGATATCCCTGAGGCCTGTGTTTGCCTACTGGCCTTTGTAGAGAGGAAATCTTGTAGTTGCCTGCAGACCTACATTCAGACTGTGTCCTGTATGCATGTTGACTTCTTGGTTTGGCTTGTGACCTACATTTTGATATTGGTCGGTATGCCTACAGAGGCTTGGGTTTGCATTACATATTTCTTTTGTATTATTTTTTCTGTTTTTTGTGCTGGGGGGCCTCTGCCTGGATTACCATCTCTGTTTCCTGGGAGCCCTCTTTGCCTGGGTACCTCTGTCAGTTCGGGCGATTTCATTTGCAATGACGCCTCCGTTTCCCTGTAGGCTTAAGTTTCATGGAAAGATTTTTATGTACTTTTTTCTGGTTTACCCCAGCTGTTAGTTTTGCAACTTGACTCTTTAGAGATGTGATTAATTCCTCCTGTTCCTTGAATCTGAAGGCATGTTCAGGGTTGGTCTTCAGCTGAAGAAGGCTGCAGAAGAACAAGGAGGTAAACTTGTCACTTGAGGTAAGGAGCGATATGACTTTTGCTGGAACCTTGGAAGAGTAGATACAGAAGAGATAATAAGTAAGGACTGAACTTAGAGAAACACTGAGAACCAACAAGGAATAGTTTCTTTAGTCATTAAAAAGAAACAGAAGTTTTGTCCAACTTGTGATTCCTTGCTTGTAACCCACAAACTAGATTCCTATGGTTCATACCAATGTTTCACTCATTGCTGGTTTTAAAGATTGAGATTTTTTTTTCAGGTTCACACACCCTGACCATTCCAGAAAGGAAAGCTCTAAACCCTTCTTAGAGATGAAAAAAAGTTACAGCCCTCATCAGTGACACAGCCACCTGCCATTTATTGATCCCACCAGCAGCTACAAGAAGAAGGTCATCAGCTGCCTTCAGTAGTTAGAAAAGGACAAAGCCATCGACAGGGAAGAATACTACTGGCTGTACCCAAGAAAAGTCATTCCCCAGATCTACAGCCTCCCAAAAATACACAAGAAAGGAGCTTGACTCAGGCCCATCATAAGCAGCATTAAATTTGTCACTGTTTAAAAAGACCTGACACTGGACACGGGAGTGTGCCTTATAACTAATACTAATCTTGATTTTGAGCTTTTCTATTTTCAAAAACTTGAGGATAAACATGGGAGCCCCATGCCTCAGTTGCAGAGAAACACTGCAATAATCAGGGGATGATTAGCTGATGTTGAAGACTCCAGTGATGAATATCAGCCTCTGGATGAAGTAGCAGCATAAACTGAATTCAAGATACTAAAAGACGACGCTTTAGAGGTTTTACTCTGGTGAAAGGATAACTCAAAAAATGTTCCCAAACCTATTATCGATAGCGCATAATGTGCTTGCCATTCTTGCATTAAGTTTAGCTAGTGAAAGAGAATTTTCACCTGCTGGGTTTATGATTAAGGAAAGGAGAACTGCCACCTTAGGAACAAAGTTTAAATATCATTGAGTAAACACAACAGTTATTTTATTTGTGTATTTTTGATGAGTTAATTTGAGCTCTGTTTTTAGGAGCCGAAAAGGTCTTGTGAATTTTGCACACTAAATTCAGTCTTGTTCTTATACTGTCCGTGTTAAATTTAATGTGAACTCAGACAGTTTTTTTTTTTCAAAAGAAGCATGTTTTGATATATATATATATTCATGTCAGTTATGAGTGTGTATTTGTGCTTGGGGGCAAAAGAAAAGGCCCTGCTTTGGCTTATTTTCAGCAGTTAATCTGTGGGCGCAGCACGCACTGCATGTGAGGGTGAGGCAATGTTCATTACTGCCTCTGTTATTAAGACAGTATTCTGCTGCAACTGGAAAAATAAAGCATGTTATGTTGAAGCACTAAAACGGCTGTGTGTACACTTTGTGATCACAGGTTGGGTTGCACTATATAATTACGGTGATCCCACTGGTTTTTAAATTGGGATAATTGCGTTTAACGGTTCTGGTCTTGGTTCTGAACTCTACCGGTGCATGCAGTCCCGGGTTTTAAATGGGGATTATTGTGGGTAACAGATTGGGTCTCGGTTCTGAACTCTACCGGCGCAGGTGGATACAGTTTTGAAAAATCATACCCATGCAGGACTCTGCTCTATTTCACCTAATGCCATTCCTTGCTGTCGAAATGGAAGACGGGAATTTGCATAAAACTCTTTTACTTTTTAAACTTTTACTTTTTAGGCAATGACTGTACAGCTGACCTGGCAAGCCAGTTGGTAATATGTACCATTCAGGTTTAGATCTATACTTTTTTAATCTGGGACTGATCCCATCAAATCTGTTTGGCTAAATGAACCATTTTGCAGAACCTTTTGAGCTGGTTTGATGAAGCAACACTTAATGCCCTCCTGCCAAAGCTCACATTTAGCCCATCATGGTAACAACTGAATTAGCAACAAGCATTATAATAAATTACAACTTAAGCTTTACATTTGCTTTTTTTCTTTCAAAGATGAAATTATGGATTCTGACAAAACCGATGTTGTGGCAGCAGCTATGCTGAGAGCTGCTCTTTTTCAGTTTTTCTTTTTGTGTGAATGCGGGCTTCAAGCTGTTCTTTTTCTCTCATAGGGTGACAATGGCGTAAGATGTTATAGTTTGCCCTGCAACCGGGGGGTTATTAGTTTGAATTTCAGCTCTGTTTGCCTCTGTCCTTGTGTCTATAGGCCAGAAACTTCACCCGCATTATCTGTTGGTAGTCATTTCTTTACAAATGGCAGCTTTTTTTTTCTCCATACAGGGACCTACAAGGTGAGTCCAAAAGGAAGTAAACACTAATTTACCTTAAAACCTCAATACATGCCCTTTTTATGTAACTTGTCCAAAACCAAAAATGTATTTATGTATGAAATATATGTATTAAATGTATCAAAACAAAGTTTTGCAGTAAGTAAAAATGAAAATGTGTTAAAAAAAAAGATTTATTTTAAAACAAATGCAAACTGTTTACAACAATTGGCAATAAAACTATACAATTAAAACTATGACAGTAAAAGATGTGATATGTAAAAAGCACCCATGAGCCTAAAAGCTCATCTATAAGTATCTATGAGCTTATAAGCTATAAGCAGGTATGTACTATAATATATATATATATATACACAAACATACAGTATATACATATGTGTGTGTATACACACACATAAAAACATATATATCCAATAAATACACATGACTAAGATGTAAGGAAAGATATGATACATAAATTACACATTGAAGAAAAGAATCAGAGAGTCTTTAAGGCAGAAAGGGAATATATGTCTGGTGTCTTGTTACATGGCACTCTCATATTGACCTCTCCTTGGAAATTTCTCTTCCACTGTTGGTGAATACAGGTTGCAGAAGGCTCCAGTTAGCACTGAATTGTCCAATGACCCCAATGAATAGTCTCAGGGATCAGTTGACTTTCTCGTCTTTATTTTGACATGTATAAGAAGTTTTTTTAGAGCATGCACCTGGGGAGTCTAAGCACAGCAGATAGAGCACTAACCCTGTGCCTCCGCTCCAGAATATTGCTTGTGTATTTCATGTGAAGTGTCAGCGAAAGGCTGAAATAAAATTAGTCTTTCAAATTTTCACATGTTTGATTTCATAACAATAGTTTGATAACATGAGAAGAAAAAGTTAGAAAAACACCTTAAAATCTACATGTAAGTTACAGTTACCAGACTAAAGGTAAGGTAATATCTAGAATTAAATTTGGATAAGGTACAATTAACATATTCTCAGAAGACAACATTATCAAATAGTATGTCGGGAAAATGAGTGGTAAAGTTTGCTGAGAATGGGGTAACTAGTCTTCTCACTCAGAGGCTTTTGTATCCCAAGCGGAAACTTGCAGCATTGTGAATCACCAACCGGCTATAAACTTTTCCTGGGAGCTCAGAGAATTTATCGTTTCTGACCGCACCTGAAGAAAAAGAATAATAAAAATAAACACACATAATGAAAGATCAAAAAAATAAAACTACAAAGAGTTCATGAATAAATTGCAATAATTTAAAAAATGAAAAAAGCAATATTTGTACATTTTAAATCTGTCAATCTTGCTATAATATATTATAGTTAACTTAATGTTTTCAGATTACTCTGAAATGCACACCTTTTTGTCCAGCAGTGTTCCAAACACCCAGATGAAGCAACCCTAGAGAAGTGGCATCAGGTAAAAAGAAAAAAAATGAAAAACAGTTTTTTTTATTAACCCATTTTAAAGTATGGGACAATAAATCATTACAGACAAACTGCTACCTGTAGTGAGTTGCACAGTGCAAAAGCAAAATGAATCTCCCTGTTTGTCGGTGCAATTATGGTCCCGATTCCCAAACTCCAGGTCAGTCCAAAAAATGGTGTGAGCACAGCCAAACTCCTGGCAATCACCACCAGAACATGCTGCTCTCCTGCTTGCCCTGCATTCTTCTCTGATCTTCTTCTTAACATTTTGAATATCACTACAAGCAGGATGACAAAGTTTATGGCTACGATAAGAAGTGCAGGGACCAGAAACGCCAACAGGGCTTTTGAATCATCCCAGTTCAGCCAACAGACATGATTTCCTCTTATGTATTTATTTAAGGGGGCAGTTACAGCCATGGTTGTTACTGCAATGATTAAGGGTGCACCATATCCCAAAATGAAACCCATAACCAGCATAGAAGTTTTAGAAAAACCCCCCTCAAAGACCAGGACAGTACGATAGAGCAACAGCAGACCTGTGGCTAACATCCAGAAGAACATAGCAAGGTAGAAAAAATGGATAAAGAAGGTAGCTGCTGCACATGCAGGAGGGTTTTTATTCTCTGGGTCTGTAAAAGACGCTCCTATGATGAACCAAATGTTTGCTATCAGGAGAGAAACTGCGATGTTAACGATGAAAACGTGACGAAGAAATGCGGTTGTGTTGGTACTTATTTTTTTCCATACGAGAGCTTCAGTTAGAAGACATATAACCAAAGAACCTATGGATATGCCAACCCCAATGAATGTTATGTCCTCCATTTCAGAGTCTTTAAAATCATCAGAGGACATCAGGATTGAGAAGGAGGTTGTGTGGTTGCAGATGCAGCTGATGGTTTCGTTGTTTTGGGATTGCACAGAACAACCCTGGTTGCTCCATCCTCCGACACCATCAAAGAGGTCGAAATCCCAGAAAACACATTGTGGATCTTTCAGCTTTTTATTTAGGATATGAAATTTCATCGACACGTTTTCGATGCTGGGATCTTTCTGAACAAGTACAACCTTTCCATTGATAACCATGGGTGGGGAGTTGACTTTCTGTTTTGCAGGGAGCACATTATCCATGGAATCAAAAATGATTAAGGTGATGAATTTCCTTTCCCCATTAGCCTTTTGTATGCTCACTTCCAATAAAGAATCATGAAAAGGGTCTATGACTTTAGCTCTCTTTAACAGAAAAAAAGGGGTCTCAATGGTAAGGGGTTCGTTGACAAGAAGAGTGGATGTTGTCTCAAATAGGTTCAAGAAGGAAGAGCTGTAGTTTTTTCTTTGGTTCAAGTATTCCCATAAGGCCTTTGAGTCATTAGAGGTGAGAGGGCCAGCAATCTCCAAAATGTTCTGTTTGATAAAAAATATTATGTTTTAGACCTCAAACATGTCTTAAAAAGAAAATATAACAAACCATTTCAGTTTTCCTACCTTCGTTGAATTTTCATCCAAGGGCACAGAAAAAAAGGAAAACTTGGAGACAACATTGCTGAGGACATTTACAGTGGTACTGACATCACTTGGAGAAGCAATTCTCTCATTGTTAATACTCTGCTGTTTGAAATTCTCTAAGAATGTGTTCAGTGATTCTTTGTCTAAATTCTGTCAAAATGGGGGGAAAAAACAGAGCTTTAGTAACTTGTTCATTCTGACTTACTGTATTGTTCGCAAATATTGTTTATTTGAGTTAATATTTCTAGATGTATTTCTTGGGTAAAAAAAAGGAGAGATTTGGGGTTAGATATATGTGTCAGTTTTTAAACTGATTAAAAAGTTAAAACAGAAAGGGAGTTAATGTTTTGGAATAACCTACATTTACTATATCCAAATTTAGGATTTTACTTAAAAGATCCACACTAAGAGGAGCCTGCAAACTGCAGTTTCGGAAGTCCACATTTGCACAAAATCTGCTTTCTTTTCACGGCTGCTTATTTGGTTTACACTACCAATCACAATTAGAGAAGGTTCTACCTATATCTCTTTTAACTATTTAACGTCCGCCGCCCAATATCGTTTTGTTTTTAAATTTAGTTCAGATTTGGCACACACTGCAAAAACAATCTAGAAATTAGCAACAATTGCTCAAATTAAGTGTATTTAGCATTAATTTGAGTAAGTAAATAAAATGATCTCCCAATGGAATATGTATTTTTACTCTTAAAATAAGATAAGATGATAATGCATTTAAAATAAGACAATGCAATTGTTTTTTTCTTATTTTAAATGTAAATTATTTTGTTCCATTGGCAAAGTGTCGCACTTACCTCCTCAATTCAAGAAAAAAATTACTTATTTAGATTTCAATTTTTTGCACTGCAATTGTACTTAATGGACCTCTTTACATAAAAAAAGGGTCACAGTTACACAATGCTTATGGCTAGAGATCTGAGATTTTACACTGTTGTTGTCCACAAGATGAAGAATAAGCATATTAAGTGGGAGAGGTTAACTATAAATTATACAAAAGATATAACATAATAAAAATTGCATTTTTTTCATTTGAGAGGAAAAAAAGTATTTTTTGGAAATATTTGATGTTACACAGCTCTGGTTGTATAAAACCTACAGACTGTGCACATATTTACAGAAACTAGAAGGTCTTACCTTTCAAATGAGATATATCACAAGCATGCAGGACTTAAAATATAATTTCATTGGCAAATGGTATTTTTGGTATGCAATATGTTTGTGCACAAGATATAAAATTGTGTGTGTTAAGGGGTTAAGAAATGCCTTAAAGACGGGCAACTTGGTCTTGCTTTGAGCTAATTCTGTCATATTTACAGCATCAGGTTATCTTTTTGGTTTTTAAAGCACCAAGGTGTATAAAGATACTGTAAAAAACACAGCTGTTGGAACAATACAGCTCAACATTTTAATCTTTAAAGAATACTGCACTAGCAATTGCAACTGATGGATTATACAGTACATTATATGATTGTGCTCTTCACATCCAGTTTAAAGGTTATACCCTGAAATATACATTCACATTTTTACATCAAATACATATCAAATACAAAATGTTCATAAATATCACATATCAATATCTATTCTCTTGAAGAACAAGTTTCATATAATTCATCTATTTTCTAAGAAAGTTGGATTAAAAAAGTAGGATAATACTTTACAATATAGAGTATTGAACCATGTTTATTAAAGTTGTTGTGTTTGAGAAAATTCAAAAGGGCAACATTACCATTGATTCATCAAGCAACCCCTTTAAAAAAGGTGAGACACAGTCTGGTTGTCCATGTCCAAAAGATTCATCCTCCTTACAAACTTTCACATCTGGCGTTGTGGTCACTGCTGTAAAAAAATATTGGACTTTTATATCTCTTTATATTAACCAAAATAAAAAAATAAATGTTAAAAGAATTATGACTTTGTTTTGTCTTTTTTTTTGATGGGCTGCACAAAGATTTATCCTTTTTCCTTTCAACTCTGCTTTAACAGAAGGATTTAGAAAAAAAATAAACAGGCTTAAACAAAACTGATTGTACCCGTATAGTATATTACAAAAAAAACCCACATGTTTAATCATCAAAGTGTGTACAGTAATTAGAATAGCAGGTGTCTGCAATTTTGCAAATAGTCAGCGGACCTATTACATAGGGCTACAAGTAATCACTGACTGATGGTATGGTGTATACCACACTCAACATGGAACAAAGGAGGGGAAGAATTTTTTTTAAGAGATTAGCAAGAAAACTATAAATAAGTTTGTTAAAGGTAAAGGCTATAAGACCATCTCTGAGCAATTCAGTGTTCCAGTTACAACAGTGGCTCATATTATTCAAGTTTAATATCCATGGGACTGTATCCAACCTCACTGGACATGGCTGTGGGATAGAAATTGATGTCAAATTAAAGAGACAGATCACACAAATGTTAACAAAAAGAGCCCAGAAAAATCTAAAGAGATTAGAGTTGAACTTCAAGCCTAAGGATTATCAGTGTCAGATCACACCATCGATCTTTGTGTTAACCAAAGTGGCCTTAATGGGAGACATTCAAAGAGGACACCATTGTTAAAAATAAATCTGGAAAAATATCCACACTTAAATTTGGGAGACCATATTGAAAAACCGTAAAGCTTCTGGGGTATTATTCTATAAGGATATTTTCACCAAGGTCGGCAAGGTACAATGAAATTGCCTGACTATCATTGAATTCTAGAAAGAAACATTCTCCTCGGTGTCAAAAAGTTGGGCCTCAGTCTCAGGTCATGCAACAGGACAATGGCCCAAAACACACAGCTAAAAACAGCCTAGAATGACTAAGAGGAAAACACTAGACTATTCTGAAGAGGCCTTCAATGAGCTAAATCATATTGAGCATCTTTGGAGGGAACTGAATCGAGGCATCCTTCAAAGGTGAGACAACTGGAGGAGTTTGCTAATGAGAAGTAGACAAAAATACGAATATGTCATTTTTAGAACTTACAACCCTAAGAATGCTGTTAGGTAATTTTCAGGCCGAGAAAACTTTGTCCAAACTTCCAAAAATATTAAAGAAAACTAATTTAGTTAATCTTTTTGATTTGATATAAGGCAACTTGATATGTTTTGCTGCCTGCAAAAACCACAAACATGTGATTATAGGAGTGGAGAAAGGAGTAAACATTTTTTAACTAACCTTTAGAGATTCCGACTGTCATTGTGCTGGTAGTAGTGGTAAAACTACCCTTTCCTGTAAAAATACATAAATCATGTTGTTTTTGCAAGTTTCTCATTGTTATTTAACACAAACATAAGAGGAATAAATTGTAGACATACCTTGTCTTTAAAATATATATATAAATCTATCTACTATAGATAAAAAAATAAGTTGTCAAATTTCGATGCAAACCCATCTACTACTGGCAGACTTATGACCAGTTATTCACGTAGAGTAAAACCCACTAAACATTCTTGATATTTCATAATCTTTACTTTATTCCTTTAAGGTTGGAAATGATTTATATATGTTTGTAACCCATCACATTTTCATATACATAAAATCATGTACAGGTTATATGTAAATGGAAGCTATCATGGATAATTTTAGATTTTCAAATGTGATTTCCCAGGTTCTTAATGCTTTGTATTTATATTGTGGTTCTTGTCATTTTTTGTGTTTTTTTACAGTAACATACAAGGTGAGATAAGTTAATACAGAAATTGCTAGAGAGACAACTTTTTCAGAAAACATACCTGCAAACATTTCACATGTATAGATTGTGATATTGGAAAAATCCATAACATCCAGTATGAAGCTTTTACTGGCATTATTCCAGGTGACATTGTTGGTTTCCTGTGTTTCATTATTTGTTTCATTTCTATTCACTATGAGTCCATAACCTTGAATATTTCCAAACATATAAAAGGCACATTTTATGAGTTGTGAATGAAATAATGACAGTGGTTTATTTTATAATAAACATGAATAAGTGTGAAAGAAGAGAAAAAAAAGGCTTTGACTTATGTTAAGCTTGCCATATGTTATTTACACTTCAATCTTACCAACACTGATATCCTGCAAGAGTAAAATAAAGCAAATGCCTCGTTTAGTATTGATGGCAGAAGAGATACATTTAGGATTTTTAAATGTAATGTCATTAAACATGTCTCTTTCAGTTACACTATGAATAGTGTCACATATGGAAGACAGAGGCTTACCTTATTCATGTACAGGGCTCCAATCAGGAATAAACACACCACAGTCTGCATTGTTAACCTAGAAGGGGGAAAAATACAGATTACACTACCTATATAAAACCTAACCCCCTAAAAATTCAAACATTCAAACTAAACAACACATAATTTTCTATCTAATTTAGGAATAAAAATGTTTAAATAAAGCCCTTTCTAAAGACTCTCAAAGCTTCCATACATACTAATATGTATGGTTTTCACTAGTGTTTATGCACGTTTTTCAGTATATTATATGAAAGAGTTTAATTTAATATGCGTATATGGAAGTTATTCTGATTTATGTCCCTGGGGGCACCTCATCAGAACCACTCAGAGTTTAGCATGTGCGCAACAAGTATGAAAAGCCAATATTAGTGGAGCACCGATTTAACGAGTCACCATGACGACAGACAACAGAAAGTGCCTATTTCATCCCACTGGAACTGGAGATTTTAATAAAGAAATAAAAAAAATGGAGAATGTGTTTAAAAGACTGAGCACCTAAGCTACAGCTGCAAAGGAGAGGAAGATGGCGAAGGAGATGATTGTTGCTCGAGTAATGCGTAAATTTATAAGAAGTGAACTACGGCAGACCATTTCTACATTTATTAAAGCGCTCTCCTCTGTTGTTCCATTTGTAGATCCCTAAAATAAGATTTTTCCTGATCAAAATCCCACTACTAGACCTAATTGTAATAATGTATTTTCTTAATTACAATTTTATAGCAGAAGCTGAATTTTAGAAAGTAAAAAAAAAAAAAACGTATGGCTATCAAACGTATGGCTATCAGTCCCATAGAATGGCTTCAGGTTGTTCCAGTATGCTCAGTAGGCTGTTATCATTGAGTGAATCATTACCATCTTTTCCCCCGTAGAATTAATGAATATATTTATGTTTAATCTAAAAATAATTTCATTCGTTCATCATGTACTGCAGAGGTGTCAAGTGACGAAGTACAAATACTTTTTAGGTATCTATACTTTAATTTATTACTTATTTTTCTTCCTACTTCTGACTTCTACTCATTACATTTTCACACAAGTATCTGTAGTTTCTATTCTTTACATTTGTAAAATAAACCTTACTTACTCTTGGCTTTAGTTTTATGTTTATAAATATTTATTTCATGCACCATCCAATGCAGATAATTGGTGCCATCCACATCTAGTGAAAACTAGTGTAATTGGATGAGTTCTATAACGCAAACACTTACAGGTTATCTATTTGGCAAATTTGTGCTGACGCCAAAGGAACTCATCAGAAGCATGCAGGTGTTCTTCAAACTGCAGACGTGAATTGTCTATGCCATGCTACAATGTCGGATTCAGCAAAAGATGTTGAAATGTCTGAAAGGTCGGATACAGGCGAGAGCGTATCTGGAGATGGAGACCAACAAGACCTCCCTCATCCTTGGCCCTATCTCAAAGAATTTTTAGAAATAGTCGAAAAATTGAGCTTTCAGTTCATATAGTGGCATCTGGCTGTTTTTTTAAAGGTACTTTAGGTAGTTTTTGGAGCACATACTTTTTCACTTTTACTTGAGTAAAGAGGTCAAGTTGATACTTCAACTTTTACCAGAGTGTTTTTAAACTGCAGTATCTATACTTCTACTTAAGTAACAAATGTGTTTACTTTTGATACCACTGACGTACTGTAAATATAAGTTGATGAAAAAAAATGGTTTGCATCTCAGTCATATTAAACAAACCAAAAACAAGTAATCCCATGCCCTGTCAACTGAGTTGGAGAATCCTCTCCCTATAAATATTTAATTCTCTGTGAAAAAGTGCCGATCATTCTTTAAGATCCTCATCAAACGACATGCCATGTTTGTTTTAAAATCCCAATGTGTCTAACAGACCTAGTGAATGATAACTTTTTTTATGCACAAATTTAATATCTAGCCTTTCTTCTCTCACTCAAGGTATTCTTTTTGTATTTTTAATTGCGCTTAATTAAAAAGGATGGTTGATTTGTATATAGCTTACTAGAAAGTTTACTACAACTGTAGAAGATATACTGGAACATGGAAAAATAGAATTTGACACATAAGTGAGGGGTTCAGGGAAATTAGATACCCACAGTCTGGAATAAAAAAAAAATTATACTCTGATAAAATCAACATAACTTGGTAATAAAGTACAATTTTAAAACAAAACCTAAGTGGCTTAGTTCACAGAACGTTTCAACGTTAAGTTCCACATCCACATAACATTTACTGTTTATTTCCAGCATGCAAATAATTGGGTATTTATAGACCAGAAAATACTCATTTACATGCCAGGGTTCAATTTATTCATAGCTTTGGGGACTATGGCAACATCATTTAAACAATCAACAAACAAATGACAAAAAATAAGTAAATAAATAAATCAGTAAAACCTAGAATCTAGTTTGTCACACATATAAACCCGAAAGACATTTGATGCAATACGGTATTATGTTAGCCTGCTCGTAAAAATGTCAATGTCCCATACTTTAGCTGCTGGATTTGCTTCTGCCTGACAGCTTAAACCCAGAGCCTTACATTAAATCCAACTTTCTTTTTTCTTCCATGTTCCTCTGCCTCACAGGCAAAACATCTCTGAACAACACTTTTTCTTTGGAAAAACAAAGTAGCACAGGTTGATCTCCATAAGTACTTTCCATTTCAGCAGAGTTTTAAAATGCAGGGACTTTTTTATTCTCAGCAAACAAATAAAAATCTTCTACAGAATTTAATTTAGAAATGCCAGTGTATATGTAATGAGAAAGATGTCTTTTTAGAAAATATTTGATCACTTCTTTTTACATTCAGAAGTGCACCTATTTTGGGATAAGCACAAATTATTTTGAGTTGTTTGTAATGTTCTAATGTTAATAACAAAATTCCATTGCAATATTAAAAAAAGAAAAAACAGAGGCACAGCAAAGGATCTTAATAAGGAAACCCTTTACGTGCTTAATCTTAATGTATCCTAGGAAAAAAAGACTAAATTAATTAACAGATATCAGAAATATCATATTTATGTTGCTGGAAAAGTCTGGTTCATTCTTCATTTAAAAAAATCTAGATCGGAGGTCTTCAACAGGGGGTCCGCAACCCCTAGGGGCACCACAGAGGTACTGCATGGGGGTCGTGAAAGTTTTGGTCCATTAGGCTTTTTTTTAATATTCCACCCTGCAACTTTTTTCCACTGATTGAAATATCTTTAAATAAACATTAACATGAATGCAACACACTGTAGTGAACAGATAAATGGAGGCAGAAGATGTCTTTTAGTCATTAATGCACACATTCAGCAACACACAGGAGCTCTTTCAAGCTGGGCACCGTTTCATTCACAACACCTGTCCCATCAACCAGGAATCATTATCAGAAATACTTTAATAATCCTAGGGAGAAATTACTTTCATTACATGACTCCATCGGTAATAGAGTGACTATAGGACCAGTTTGATATAACACAATTTCATACAAATATATAATTAAGGGGGTCCCCGCTGCATCTCGTCATTAGTTTTGGGGTCCTTGGCCTGGAAAACATCGAGGACTCCTGATCTAGAAGAATAAAAGGGTCGCATGTTCCCTTGTCCAAAAAATTGTTGCCCAATATAAACAGCAATAAACATCCATCATACTGCTCAAAAAAAGAGATGGGTTTTGTGTCAACACCACAGAGATACACATGTTCTGATAAGGATCAAGCACAGAACTAAGGGAACCGTTAGTAGATGCTGGCCAAAACTAGCTGTGCCTGGTTCACATGAAAGGATGATTTTGCAAACTTTTGGCCTGATCTTTTCTTTCTCAGTAAAATGGTCTCTTTTCGTTTAGATACAGGATATTTCTTTCCGAGATGTTACAATAAAATACATGATTCCATACATACTCTAATTTTAGTATGGTTCTTTTTTATTATCCTTTCCCTGCAGGATTTTCTCCTTCCAAACTTTTTCAGGTCAGGTTTTGCCGCCTTTTCTTGGTTAATGTAGAGGTGGTAGATCTGGGGCATTCTGTGGTCATTTGAACTTATCACCATTTAGTCTTTCAACTTTTTTTGAAAGTTCTTTTAGGCTACAGTTTGATGTATTCAGATTGAGCCTTCATATGCCTTGAGATCTGAGAGGGGGGGATTTGGCAAATCCTTAGCCTCACAGTCAATTTGCCCAAGCAGTTCATAATGAAAATAGATCTAGATTTACCCTACAACCAAGCATGGCCCAAATAGATTGGTCATTTCAAAGTAGTTGAAAGTTAACTTGATAAATCACTTATATCTGTTACAAATGACCCTGTTTCATACAATTCAAAGATAGAAGTGACAAAGAACAACCAATGCATAGATGAAATTAGTTGTCTTTTATCTGAAAGCAGATGTGCTTAAGTCTTTTAATTGGACAATACAAGCTTACATTGACAGTACAATATTTAGAAACATAAAAAACACCCAAAAAGAAAAAAACCCTCCTACCTTTTTCTTTTTGTTTTAGATCCCACTCATCAATATTAGATAATGTAATTAAGCCTCCCTCTATGAAAAATGTACTCTTAGTACCACAGCATTTCAAGTAGGTCTTCAACAGTAGAATGGCAGTAAATGTGGAAGAGGATACAAAACAGTTATTTAGCTGAGCAGGGTGTGTCAAGGCAAAAGGAGGGGGACGGTTACACAAGGCTTTTACACTATTACATTTGCTGCTGCCCTGTTAGGTATAAAATAAAACTATTAATCATACCTCAGTTACAATTAACAATCAAACAAGAGAGCAGATCAAGAAACAAATGTGTATGGAGATATATAATTAGTAAAATACAATTATTCATTACGAATAAAAGTTTTGTCATAGTAAAACATTGGCAAAGCTGCTCAAAATTACTCTAACCATAATATGTCTAACATGACTTACTGATTATTGCAACATGAATTTACTTTTTGAAACATTATGAGAGTGTATGGATGATGTAAGGAAAGATCCTAGGAAGAATGTGATGAACTGAATCATCATCTGATGTTACTAAAAAGGGCAGGGAACAATATGCGGCTGTTGTTGGGATAAACTTGGTTTTACATAAGCATAGAAGTTCTTTCATTTCTATTTTGATCTAACAGCACTCCAAGACTGAGGGAGGTACTGTAGCTAAAATATATTAAAAGACAAATATAAATGAATAACTGCTTAGTGAATAAACAGTAAAATTGCACACAATTTTAGTATTGCACCTGCATACAAAACTACAAAGCAGATAAACACCATCGCATGTCCTGTGCAACTATACAGGCATAGATAACTATAGGCTCAAGGTTAAACAATGATTTGAAAATTACTTTGACTTGTTGAAACTTTGAATGTTACATTTTGCCTTGGGTTTAACCATCCCAAATTTCAAATACTTCCATTTTTTTTTTAAAGTTTTTACGCCACTAGTGGGTCGTTTGTTTGGACAGCTGGATGAGAGGAAAAGAGGTATGAGAGAGGGGGAAAGACATGCGGCAAAGGACCACAGGTTGGATTCAAACTCAGCTCAGCCGAGTTAAGGACTAAAGGCTGATTTATACTTCAAAACTAGGAAGTCTGCATAGGTGTTGTGGTGAACGCAGAGACTTCCCTACCCCCTCCGCAGACACTCTGGTGCACCTCTCCCAAATTCTGATTGGTCAAATCTACATCTGCTCTACGCTATGCATATTTCCTGTTTGGTACCTTACCGACTTATTTTGTTTGTAAGACTGCCATTGTGGAAAACGACTTGTGAATTTGGACCAGCTAGAAGAGCGAGGTGCATGAGAACTCTGGGAAAATTTTTCCACCTGGACCCCCACTATTTTTCACCCTCATGTCCCTCCATTGCCGCACAAACTTGCCCCCATTTCCTCACCACCTTGCACATATTTAGATTCACAGCTAGTTCATGATTTTCACGTTTTGCATTGTGGTGTGGAATAAACATAGCACAGACCGGGCTTCAATATTCAGCATAAATCAAAAATGTCTGCATCATACCTTTGACATCTCACTGCAACACACTGCTGCTGGAGTATAACCAGCCCTTAAGGCCTGGGTCGTGTGCGCTAACCACTGCGAGACAGAAGGACACCTCAATACTGCCATATTTTTAGGTCGCCAAAGCTTGTTAAACATTTAACATTTCATCAATCACCAAGTAAAAAAATTTCATGGGATAATAATGTTTTTATCGGTTGTACATTAGTATCACATGTTAGCCTTTAATCATTAGACCAGTATGAAACACTGTGTGATTTGTACTGTTAGTTTATTGGAGCAATATTGATGTGGGAAATTGAAGGTTAGAATAAAAACCACCAGTGACTGGGTTTAAACTGTGCCTAATAACTTCTTTCAAGTAGTGAAAGAAATATGGAGTCTGATAAAAAAACATAAAAACATACAGTTGAGTGTGTTCACTAGAGGTCACACCCAAACGCCTATATTGAGAAGTTTCAAGCTGTAAAAAATGTCAATTACAGTATACAAATTATGTTAGTAATAAATTAATTAGCTTAATAAGACATTTTGATCTATCAGCTCTAAAGGTTTGTGGCTAAAGGCAAGTGGATTTGCAGACTTGGATGGAGTTATAAATAACCATAGTGAAGAAAAAAATGGAGACGGGATTTACTGGAAGAAGATACTGGACTTTCAGAGAGCCATTCAAAACTCATTTGTGTATGTTTTCATTTTCAAAAATCCAGTAGCGATATGATCTGGTCTCATTGCAATTCCATTGAGAGGATGCAAATTATCCTTCTACAAATATAAATATACATATATATACATCTATATATACACTTTGCTTTACAGCTTATGTTAAAAGAAAAGTGCATCATGAAACTAATTTGCTTTCTTTATTTCAAGTTTGTCATTTTGTCATCTTAGCTAAAAGTAACTTGATAACTTTGAATTAAATTGAAAATGTGAACTGGTGACTGAGTCATTTCCTGCACACTTTTATTCAGGGGTCACCACAGCAGGACATTAAAGCTTCTGTCAGATGCCCTTTTTGACACAACCAAGATTCCAACCAAGGTCTTACATTTCAAAGATATGGACTTAATTTGGTGTATATATGAAATGTATTCATTTGCTTAAACAGAAACCAATAACCTTTAGTTCATTGATTCTTGACCTTCCTTGATTAAGCTAGACTTGTCAGTAGCATTGAGGGGCTTCTGACCACCTTCTCCTCTCATCATATGGGTCTCATGACATTGCAGATATTTTCAGCTTTAACTTCAACAAGTTAGGGTGAACATGTTTAAAGTTAACGACCTAACACAAGAATATTTTTAATTTAATTCCTTTTTATGATTATGTTTAACAAAACAAACAAACAGAAATGCAGGAAAGCTGACCTCAATACTTACATAGTCAGAATATCATGCTGTTCTACATGTGGCTGTGTGGTAACTTTCAAACACTCTTCCTTTGGTCCAAAATTATTATCTCAGTTTTGTTTTGATTCAGCTGAAGAAAATGATGTCACATCAATGCGCTGATTCCTTAATGCATTTAACCAGTGCTTGAATGCGTTCATAGTCTCTTGATGGAATTGTAATGTATAGCTGTGTGTTGTCTTCATTGCTATGGTAACTTATCATTTTGTTCAATAAAATCTGAGTTAGGAGGAACATGTAGTTGCCTAGCGACGCAAATGTCATTTTAGAATAATTTAAACCAATCTAGTGCTGTACTAGAAAGGCTTGAGGAGTTGTAGAAAACTAAGACAGAGGTAATTCTTGCAAGGAAGGCTCAAGTATATTTTTACGTCTGCAGGCGGAGAGAAAAAGCTCTGACTGGGGCAAGCTTAGCTTACATTTTTACATCTCCCAACACACACTCGCACCCCACCCCACCAAGCATATTTCCTGTTAGGTTGATATAACTTTCACTCGCCAGATGTAGCATCTCACAACAGCTGTCCTCCTGTTCATGCCATGGGGGAAGCTGAGGGAGCCTTAAGCACTTATCTTTTATCTCTTCCTTTGGAGCCTTGCATGCAGGGACATCCACACACACCCTCTTACAGGCTCAAACTCCTCATTATTTTATTTCACAGGCTGACCATATTTAAGATTCTCTAATAAAATTGAGTCATCATCAATGTTGAATGCTGCACTGAGGTCCGTGAAAAACAGCAGTGTGGTTCTTCTACGGTCTGCATTTAAATAGACGACACTAAACACCTTGACAAGGACAGTCTCTGTGGTGTTGATGTCGGAAGGCTGACATGAAAACATAAAAGTGGCTTTTAAAACAAGATTGTTGTTCATTGTTTGGGTAAAACAATGAGCAAGAAGAAGCTTAGTATGTGTGTAATTTATTTTATTGAGTTGTAGATTAAGACAACCTGCTACCAATAATTCTGTCTAGGGTTTTAAAGGCAGTAAACAAAAGTTTTAAATTTTTTCCTCTTTATTTCAGTTCTTCCAACTTCATATTTATTTTACAGGTATTCAAAAAAAAAGTGTACACGCATTATTCTATTATTACAACACAGTCATTTAACAATAAAAGACAAGGCAGGTAGATGAAATAGTTTAAATGAGCAACATCAGTTTCACTTTTTGAATCAATACATAACTTCCTTCTACCATCCAGTCGTTGGGATAGCCGTGCCTCAACATTAGTGGTTAGATTTATCATTAAAAGTCCATTAGGCCAACTGCTTCTTGTATTAAATGTGCTGGCCTTTTTTACCTAGCCCTTCTAGCTGTAACTTGCAAGGAGGTAAAACCAAACAAACATCTTTCTGTTAAATGCAGAAGCTTTCCCCGACTAAAGACTCTAGTAGGAATTTATGACCTCGGACCTGATGAAACTAATTGATATTTTCCAGCTAAGCTAAAAACAAACACTAAGATGTGTAGTTTATCTGGAGCAGATCCAAAGGCACATTAAAACTACGTTTGTGTTTGTTAGGAATAGAGTAATAGAAACTGTATTAGGAGTAGAGATGGCAATTTAAAAACTAAAAAGGCATTTGCTGTATATTACAACCGAAGGTTTTAGTGCTTCAGCACAATCCTGTAGGAAAACAAATGGAATTCGATACATTGCAGAAAACGTCCAAAAAATAAAAAGGGAATAAGGGATAGGTTTTATTGTGTGGATTGTCCTCCTCTCCATAGGAACTCCTCAGGCACAGGGGTGTCTTTAACCAATTGAGGTTTTTTCTTGGGTGGTCAGGGATTTTATGGCTTCTGACCGTACCTGAAATAAATAGTTAATTTAGTGTATTGCTTTGCAAAATATTTAGGAAGTAAGAACATTTTTATTTATTTTTGTATACCAAATATTGTAAAACTTATTAGTTTCATATCTAGAAATATTTAATTCTAAATGATTTTAGAATAAGGCCACCAGAGACATACGCACCCTCTTGTCCAACAGTGTTCCAAACACCCAAATGAAGCAACCCTATATGAACACACAAGGATTTGGAGAAAAAAATAAGCTTTTTCCAACCTTACATTGAAAAGTAAGGGATACAAGAACATGACATTGTTTTTACCTGTAGTGAGTTGAGTAATGAAAAAGCAAAATGAATCCCCTTGTTTGTTGGAGCAATTATGGTTCCGATTCCCAAACTCCAGGTCAGTCCAAAAAATGGTGTGAGCACAGCCAAACTCCTGGCAATCACCACCAGAACATGCTGCTCCTGTGCTTGTGCTGTATTCCTCTTCACTCTTCTGTTTAACATTTTGAATATCACTACAAGCAAGATTATAAAATTTATGAAAACGATGACAAGTGCAGGAACCAGAAATGCCAGCAGGGCTTTGGAATCATCCCAGTTGAGCCAACAGGCATGATTTGCTCTTATGTAGTTATATGAGGGCAAAGTCACAGCCATGGTTGTTACTGAAATGATTAAGGGTGCACCATATCCCAAGACAAACCCACTAACAAGCATAGACGTTTTTGAAAACCCCCCCTCAAAGACCAGGACAGTACGGTAGAGCAACAGTAGACCTGTGGCTAACATCCAGAAGAACATGGCAAGGTAGAAAAAATGGATAAAGAAGGTAGCTGCTGCACATGCAGGAGGGTTTTTCTTCTCTGCACCTGATAAAGATCCTCCTACAATGAACCAAATGTTTGCTATCAGGAGAGAAACTGCAATGTTAACGATAAAAACATGGCGTAGAAATGCGGTTGTGTTGGTACTTATTTTTTTCCATATCAGAGCTTCAGTAATAAGACATATAACCAAAGAACCTATGGATATGCCAACCCCAATGAATGTTATGTCCTCCAATTCAGAGTCTTTAAAACTATCAGAGGACATGAGGATGGAGAAGCAGGTGAGGTGGTTGCAGATGCAGCTAATGGTTTCGTTGTTTTGGGATTGCACAGAACAACCCTGGTTGCTCCATCCTCCAAGACCATCAAAGAGGTCGAAATCCCAGAAAACACATTGTGGATCTTTTAAAGTATCATTTAGAATTTCTGAGATTATGGATATATTTTTGATTTTGGCTCTTGTCTCAACAAGCACAACCTTTCCATTGATAACCATGAAACCAGAGTTTTCTTTATCCCTTGGTGGGAGCACATTATCCATGGAAGCAAATAAGATTGTGGTGATAAAATTATCTTTTTTATCAGTCTCTGGTATGCTTATTGTCACTGATGAATTAAGGCGATCATAGAAAGGGTCTGTCAACTCCGTTTTCTTTAACAGAATAAAAGGAGTCTCGATTGTTAAAGATTCATTGACAAGAAGGGAGGATACTGTCTCAAATAGTTTTAAGAAGGAGGAGCTAGGGCTTTCTTTTTTGCTGTTGTTCTCTGTCCCTGAGTTTGGTTTGTCATTTAGGATATCCCACGAATTCTTTGCTTCATCAGAGGTGAGAAGACCAGCAGTTACTAGAATGTGCTGTATCAAAAAACAAAAAAAAAAAAAACATACATATTAGATGTAAATATTTATACCTTCAAAAATGGAAATAACATACAAGTTACCCTACCTCTGTTGATTTTCGACTAATTGGCAAAGACAACTCTGAGGATGTATCAGCTACATTGTTAAGGATTGTAACAATGGAACTTATAGATGCTGGTGTTTTAGTAACTTTTTCAGTCGTGCCAACGGTCACATTTCTGAGTTCCTCCAAGAAATTTGGCAGTGTTGAGATATTTAGTTCCTGTTGCATTTGCAGAAAAAACAACTAATGTGATGATTTGCATTCAGATTACACTTTAAGGTTTTGAACTTCATAATGTCTTATTTCATTGCATTATATACATTCTGAACTAGAAATGTTACTGGAAATATCATCTAGCTTTAATTTTTCTCTTAGAGTTGTGCCTTTGATATAAAACCCCCAATCACCCCCAATGTCTGAGTATATCCATCCACCCTTTCTTTAATTATGTTAGGTCTGCCACAATATGCTAAATAAATGCTTTATATTCATAACAGATTATGCCTCAGGTTGTTTCAAAAAGAATTGCTATTTTTATTATCTTGTTATATGAAAGTGCACCAAGGCTACTCAGTTTTAGTGCATAACTTATTTTTCTTATTGAAAAAAAATTCTATTTAAAAGCCTTTTTAAAAGTTTTTTATTACAACTTTGTCTGACTGCTCAGCCAGAAATCTTATAGGTTTATGGTTTGATAATATATATTTGAAAATCAAACATTTTTGAAATTCAGTCGGCTGTCATGGGCAAATCTCTCAGTGGGCAAACAAGGAATCTTCTGCTTCTTCCTCTCAGATGAAAACACAGAAGCATGGTGGGGGTGCGCGTGAAATGCAGTTCTTTCCGTAAAATTGACAGACCACGCTCAGCCATGTCTTTGTCCATATACGTCGTCGCCTTTTCTTTTTAGTACTTTTAGCACACAAAATTGCAAAAGTTGCCTAGGCAGCGTGTTTCACTCTAGTGAGCTTCATATTACTTTTATTTTAAATTTCAGCTTTTTTTGTGTGTGTGATGGGACAGCATAGCTGTGGGTTCTGATCTGATAAGGTAGATCTAATTTCTTCCACCCTGCTGGAAGGAATGAGCTGCTAGTGTGGGTCCTTAGGCAAGACACTTCGCGTTAAAGCCTACCTTGTACAGGTAAGTCGCTTTGGATAGAAGTGTCTGCTGAATAACATAAGCATACAGTTCCATATAAAGTGAGATTAAATGTCTGAGACATATTTTGATGCAAAATCTCTTCATTTGGCTATCTCAGTCCTAACCTGTGTCACTAATTTCCCCTTTCTTCAAAAATGGGTACTGAATGATCATAGTTGGTAAAGGATTTCACATTTTTATGCCCACTTTGTTCCCGTGGAAGTCGACATACACAAGTTTCAGGGCCCTTTTTATGCGTATGCAAGCTTGGTCTTATCAGACCAAAAGTTTCTGAAATACTTTGATCTGTGAGGTAGTATAATGTATTAATTTAATATAGTTGAAAACATGAATGCTTCATTCTGTCTATTCTGTCTATGAGTTTTGGTGTCATGAATGTTAACATGAGTGATTTACCATAGATTTATTGAGGAGGTCAAGAACAACTGTAAGGACACAGTTGTCTTCTTCATTTCCATATTCACCATTTGCCATACAAACTGCTGTTTTTTGTCCCTCCATGTTATCATCACAGGGTATCTCCACCTTCTGGCCTTCGACCACACAAATATAATCTATAGAGGGAAAAAAAATATTAAGCGAAAAGGAAAAATTGAAAACTTTCTCTAAATCTCTAAGAAGATTAGACTCAAAAAAATTATTTCACTGAAATGTTTTATGACATGACCATATAAAATTCTCTTACAATCGGCACAAATTTATGTTGAGGCATAAACCCGCACTCCTCACAAACTTTACACACCAAGAGGAACGTTTTTACGTCAGGAGATGACGCCATTTTTGTACATTCATCTTATTTGAATGCTTGCCAGTTTTTAAATGACATTGGTTCAATTTGTGTAACTGTTTTTGTATTGTTAAATCATTTACACCACATTCAAATGGGGTCTTAATGCCTTTTGTTAAGCGCCATGGCAGAAAATGTGTTAAAGTTTAAGGCCCTTCATGCGAATCTCGCCAGAAGTAACAAGCTATAGAAGTTTGAACAACTACTTGATTATAACCTGTAATTTTTCCTTTCCAATGCCTGTTAATAATGGTTTCAGCCATTCCTATAAATAGGGAACTAGATAAGATCTTATTATAACTGTACCAACCCAGTCAGCAGTAGTGTTGACTGGGAACTGTATGAATGTGAGCCTTTAGGGGCCTGGGGGTGTGGACTGTAATGCAGACAGCCAGTCAGACATACAAATATAATGATGCAGTTAGGAGAGATCTACAGATTTTTCCTTTTGGACAGTTTATCTCTCAGGATTTGTAAGGACACCAGAAATATATGGAAATAATGTGAAATATTGATAGAGACAGTATGAAATAAAAGAATATATATACATACCTTTAGCCTGTTCACATGTATAGGTTATGGAATTGATGCTGCTGTTAAAATTAACATATAGTGGTTCACTCCCTTGCTTTTTGTTGGTTTCCTCTGCTATTTCGACAAACATAGAACACACATGTATGAGTCTGGACATTGAATATAAAACCTTTTTTTTATTAATCAATGCATACATAAAATGAGTTTGCAGATCCTTTATTCAATGGTTGTCTGCTATTTATTCTTTCCCAAAACTGTTATGTTATTTTATGAAACCCACAAGTAGACACTAAGACCTTATTTCATGTCAGTCTACTTTAGGGTTTTATTGGCTGAGGAATATATGCCCCTCCCCTTAGGATCCACCTGGACCCTCCACAGATGTTTGTGTGCAAACCAGATTGTTATCACCGTGGTTACTGTTGTAGTTGTGGACTATATCACATAACATTTAGAGAGTTGCACACAATTACACAGCAGATAAATATAATGACGCAGTTAGAAGAGATCTGCAGTTTTCTTCTTTTACACGGTTTGTCTCTTAAAATTTCCTAGAACACAAAAATTCAATTTAAATGAAAAATTTAGAGTCTTGAATGTAAAAACGTATATACCTGTATGCTGTTCACATTCACAGATGTTTGTGGAATTGATGTTGCTGTCAAACGTGCTGAATAGTTCTGTGCTGCTAGTGGTGCTTTGCGCTATGTGGCAAGGATGTCCAGATATTTCCACAAACACATAAGACAGTGGGGCGTTACATTCGATACAATATTTTCCTTTTTGATTGATTATTAATTCATTTGTCAAATTATCTGTGTAAATTTTAATTTCCTTAGTCTCACCATTTGAAATCACCTGCAGAACAATAAAACCACCATATTAGTCTTGATGTAATATGCAATCTTTGTACTGTACATGGTGTGGTTACTTGTTAAGTGTTGTTTAGTTGTAATGTTATACAACAGAAAACACACATAAAAAAAATGATATTTACCTGAAATATGCACACAGCTCCAATCAGAGGTACAAACATCTTGGTCCACATTTTGAATCTGACCAAAAAACAAAACAAAACAAAACAAAAAACTAGACATTGAATCCTTGACCTCAATTTATCCCTGCAGAGCCTTTTTACATTTTATGGTTTGCACTGCTGATTACAATGCGGCCAATATAAAGATTTCTGTCAAATTCCTTGTTTGTTCACACAAACTAGGTATACTGTAGGAAGTTTACTCTGATGTACGTCTATTAATATATATGTTCCTTTTTCCTTTGCTGCTCACTGTCATTGCTTCACTTAGTTTTTCATAACCAAACCCTTTTTATTACTTCCTCATTTGTTGAATTGTAGAATTATAAGAGGGTGCTGTTTTTACAACAAATGCAAATGTAGATGCCTTATTCTGAATTATTCCAGCAACGTCTTTTAGAAGTGGATTTCTTGGGCCGTTACTGATACCTGTGTGATTTTATGCAATATATACCGATAAAAATACTGACATGTTATATGTAACAGTATTAATCATCCATCCATGTTGCATTTGTTTTAAATTCCCATTCCATGTTGCTTAGTGATTAGAAAAAAACTGCTGACCTAATCAGCAGCTTCTCTTTTTACATTACATCTTATGTAAACATTAAAGTTTACAGCGTAAACTTTAATGTTTAATTAACAGGATCTGGAAATTATGGAACCTGTGAACTGGACAGTGAAATACAACTTTCTGTAAAACGTTATCTGAAATTTAAGACCAATCGAACCTAAATTACAGCTAGTAATTTCCTAATAGTGATCTTGTTCACATTGGTTATTATGTTGATGTTAAATATTTGTGTGTTTTTCCGAAGTGTACTACATCTGTTTTTGTCTTTTTTTTCTCTTTGTTGTATGAATTACAGTGCTACTTCTGATTAAAATAAGTAGAGATCCCTGTTATCTAACCTATTTTTCTTTTTGTTTTTTTGTTTTTTGTTTTTTACTTTCCATCCTTTATAAGTTGCATCTATGAAGAAAGGGAACAAAAACAATATCAAAAAGACAAGCAATGTCCTACCTTTACTTAGTATCACTGTTCCGGTGCAGAAAAGAGCCTAAATAATTGCCTTTTGCAGCAGTAAAGCAACGTTTTCACCATGCCCTCATATCCATCAAAGGCAGAATCCTAGCTAATGACCAAACATTTTTTCAAACACTGAGCTATATTGGACAAGGCATATTTGTCCTGGAGAAGGGTGGTGCCAGAATACCTGGGAATTATGAAAGAGTTGAAGTATACTGTTGCGTTGGAGCTTCCTGTGGATATTTCATTTGCATACATGGCTTTTCTCCAGCTGGTAGATGTAGGGCAATACCAGAACCATCTAGCATAAGTGCAGGCTCTTATAGGCCTACAACAATACATTCAACAACTTATGAAATGTCACCTTATATGCTTACTAGTAATATAACATGTTTGAATTATGAAGATGTGGAAAATAAAAATGACCTAACTTTTTGGTCAGTCCTGAAATGCAAGTGAAACCTGCTACTGTATGTTTGGAAGTGTTTGAGAATCCAGTTTTTACATAAGCAAATATTTATTTCCTGCTTCACCTGCACTTGTCTGCTGCAGCAAATGGAGATAAACAGGAAAATGAATGTCATCATAGAATGAATGAGTAACCAGAGAAAAAAGCAGCAGTCCAACAAATAAATAAAATCCTGAAACTAGAAAGGCAACGTTTTGAGTTAGTTCTTAATATCTACTGTTGCTTGCAGTAAGACTGACATTTTATTGTTTTAGAAAGGAAATGAGTTTCTGACTTCAGAGCTGGAGAACTACAGCCTTTGAGCTTTAAATATGCGTCAGTACACCCTCCAGATGTCCATTTCACCACATTGATGGTTTACATAGAGCCATGGTTATCATATTTTACTGATGTAGTTTAAAAAGTTTCTTTTAATTATTGTGTATGTGTTTTATATTATTTTAATGTTTAATGTAGTGAATTTGCTTTGGTAAAATTATTCAAAATATATTCTTTCCTGGTTGCCATGGTGAAGTAGCTGAACAAACAACGTTACTTTGTTCTCATTATTTGCATCATATTTAGAAGGCATATTCTGGTGATGTCTATACATTGGACTTTGAATGCATCTTAGTTTGTAAAGATGAAAATAATGAGACAGTTTCTTTAGGTCTCGTTTCTGCCCTGCGACAGATTGACCAAGGTGTTCCCCACCTTGCACTAGGAGTGTATCATTGTAAAACAACCAGAGATGGGAAGTAACGAAGTACAAATACTTTGTTACTGTACTCAAGTAGATTTTTCTGATATTTT